ATTGAGAGGAAGAAGAGATTTGGCAGTAATTCATAAAAGAGAAGGAACAGCATATGATTTGAGTTTTCAAAGAGGGATCAGATTTTAATGATTTCTGTTGAAAAGAGGAAAGAGAACTTTAAAAGGAAAATGATTAAGCATCAGCAATGCAGAAAGATTAGGACACAGTTAATATTTTTTCTAGATAAAGGTAGAAGACCAGCTATCTGGACATGAAAGTCTAGAAAAGTAGATGTTACTATTTGGGCGATCACCTATGTGTTTGAAACTCTAATGAAAGCTATGAACTCACTTCAGAAAATGATACAAATGCAAATACACTAAATTATCCTATTGTACAAACACAACTACTGTCAGCCTGTGGGTACACATCGCTTAGACCTTTATGTCTAGTTATGGATATATAGGTGCATTTCTATAAATCCATCTGCTAGTTTTGTGTGTTTATATTTATGCGTATCTGTGTAGGTATCTCCTCCTTTCCACAATGGCTGATACTTGGTTGTTGACAGCAGCAGAATCAAGTGCAGAGGCTGATGATATTCCTTTGGAAACCCAAGATGCTGTTATATTCAGAGTTATTTTATTAGACTAGGTGTTTGTTCCTTTGAATATCTGAATATCTTTTTGGAATAAAAACAGTTTTTTTTCTTAATTACATCTAAGTAAAACTACATACTCATAGTAAAAATTTTAAACAGGACATAAAAATCTAAGAAGGAATGTGAAAAATCAAGTAAAATTCCAACAAGAGTGGAGGGGCTGCTGAGCAGCCCAATAACAGAATGAATGCATTCATCTAATTTAGTAGTACTATGTGAGCTAAATTGGAAAAGAAAAGGCCTAGAAACCAGGAAATCAGTTAGACAACCATGCAATCATCTGACAAATAACCAAGGCCAAGAGGAAATCTCACCAGCAGTGACAGTCAGAGCCAAGTTGTGTTGAGCACCTAATTTGTGCAAAGCAGACACACTCTGAAGAAAATAAAAAAGGCATGTCCTGTGTGCTTTAGGAGCTCAGTGAAGTGAAAGAGACCAGTTCTGGCATAACTGAGGTTCACAAAACATGGCCAGGGAATTTGTGTGAATAAGACTAATCCCTAGTACATGTTCTTTTCCACCTGCATGCTGTGTTGAGAGACATTTCAAATCCTCATTTTAGATTTAGGGTTAGGGAATGCTTGGTGGGCTAAAGAGAATCACTGCATCAAGCCTATTGTTGTACCAATGTTTATAAAAACTTTAAATCAACGTAAATCATTTCATTTTGAAATGCAAAGAGAGACAAAGGTTTGTACAAAAAGAAAGGTTCCTGAGGTATAGGTGCCTGAGGGTGGATGTAGTCTCTTTTAAAGGCGAAGCCTCATAAAACATTTATCTCTTGGTGGCTGTCTGGCCAGAAAGGTCAGGCTGGGGTAACATTTGTTAATGATTATCTAAGTACAGAATTGTGTTGGAATGTGTCTAAAGCTAATTTTCAAAGCAGGAGTAAAATATGAGATTCATTGAGAAGACAACAGTTATTTGAAAACAAAAGGAAAAAATAATGAGTAAGAGATAAAATATACAATTCTATAAGTAGTTGGGTTTCTCCCCCAATATTTTAGTTTTGTCCAATGAATTCACTTATTTGTATGAACAAACAACATAAAATAGTACATTTATTTTATTTTCTGTGCATTTGTCTGACAAAAATTAACTATAATGACATGTCAAACATAGGACAGTTAGAAATGAAAAGTTAAATTGATAGTATCACTATAACTGTATTTGGTGTTTTATTTTAATGTACTTTTCAAACAAATTTTGACAATATAAGGAGGGAATATGAAAAAAAACTTTGAGAATGCACACATATTAAATCATTTCATACTAAAATCTGTGTCTTATTCTTCCACAGCTATTGAGGCTAGATCGCTTTCTAATGTTGTGATTCTAATAATACGTAAAAGAAATAAATCTTACAAGATATGCAAATAAGTATTAATGTATGACTTATGGAAACTTATACAGATTTTATATTGAACTGGTACTGCATATTCCCCATTTTAATTTCACTAACACTAGCTAAGTCTTTTTAATAATCCAAACACAACTTCTAAGCTGGGAGGGGCTGCAATTCACTTTTTGATTCCATTCCAAAGTTCCTTTCAGAGTAATAAAAACATTTTCTAAGGAAACAGGATGACCTTGCTTCATTATTTAAGCAGCTCAGCCTCTGTTTTTTTCCAAGCTTACCATAGAGTTGGCTTCAAGGACACTTTTTTCATAAAGGTTTTTAGAGAAGGGATGATGTCACCATGGAAATTGTCAAGTTTGATTCTTTCTCAGAGACATTACTCTGTGCTAGATATTAGGAAGGAGGGGCCCAAAGACATAATTCTTCAAAGATATACCTACATTTAAACCTAGATCCACATCTGGTCTTTCTTGGGAAAAGTTTTTGCTTTGAAAGTAATTCAGAGGGACACGAAAATTTAAAAGCAACTATAGATATATTTCAGTGTCAAAAATACCAGGATAATAAATCACTACAATCAATTCAGAAAAAATTGAAATTGAGTGTCATTACATTTTTAATTTTAATTTTGTTTTAGTTTTCTTCTGGTGAAGACATATGGCTCACCAAATCAAATAAAGTATATATGCCAAAGTTATGTTGAAAGCAAATGGTCAAATAGTGTGTCAGGAAAGGATCTAGAATATACATATAATTTCTCCATCTTGTCCAAAGTCCCAAGTTGATGGATAACAATACACCATCCAAATTCTGTTCTAAGTTTCAAAAATGTAAAGGTTATGGGTAAATTGAGAGAATAAATGGTATTTAAAAAGAGCTTTGGCCATATGATTAAAAACAAGATGTCAGTGTAGATTGGGTCTGCAATCTACACACACAACCCAATTATTTGGGTCAGATGTCCATATTAACATTTAAGCGCCTCCAAATCCCAACTCTTCCTCATTTTTTAAAAAAGAATTTAACTACATAGCCATCAATTCTATTTCTTTTCTGAACTATGGTAAGACCCTTTATTATTTTTTCACCTAGAATGCTCCAATTGCATTTTAGTTTATCTCTCTTTCTACATTTTCTCACCTCAGCCCATCACCTTCCCATTCTCTCACAGTCTGTCCATGTAATGCAATTTTCTTTCTCTTTCTTCCTTCCTTCCTTTTTCTTTCTTTTCTTTCCTTCTTCCTTCCTTCCCTCCCTCCCTCTTTCTTTTCTTTTCCTTTCCTCTTCTTTCTTTCTTTTTCTTTCTTTTCTTTTTTTTCTTTTTCTTTCTTTCTTTCTTTCTCTTTCTTTCTTTCTTTCTTTCTTTTCTTTCTTTCTTTCTTCTTTCTTTTTTTCTTCTCTCTCTCTCTCTTTCTTTTTTCTTTTTCTTTCTTTCTCTTCCTCTCTCTCTCTCTCTCTCTCTTTCTCTCTCTCTCTCTTTCTCTTTTTACCAGGGTCTCAATTTGTCACCCAGGCTGGAGTGCAGGGCAGCCTCAAAGGATCCTACCTCCTCAGCCTCCCAAGAAGCTGGAACTAGAGGCATGCCCTACCGCATTCAGCTAATTTTTGTATTTTTTGTGGAGATGGGTCTTGCTATGTAGCCCAAGCTAGTCTGAAACTCTTGGGCTCAAATGCTCCTCCCACCTAGGCTTCCCAAAGTGCTGGGATTATAGGTGTGAGCTACTGTGCCTAGCTTCATGTGACTTCTTTAATGCCAAGTTCTTCATTGACTCTCTTTGGTTCTCAGCGTACTGTGCAGGCCCTTGATCTTCTCTGGCATCTGTTATGATGTGCCCATGTACACCTCAAGCTATTCCTTCCAGAAAAACCTTTATTCTAGTTCACTATCTAAAATACTTAATAGCTTTGCTAAGCTAAAAGGTCAATTGCTTAGGCTTAAAACCTGGGACTCTTTTTTTAAATAACCCTCTCTGTCAGCTGTTAGTTTATCAGTTCAAAATCTAAAATATTAAAATTGTAAGATATGAACAAATACAATTTTATGTAGTCACTTTTATTTCAAATTTTTAAATATCAATCTATTCAACAGCAATTCCTAAAGGATCTTCTTTGCTCTTCAACTTTTTTATACTTACAAGAAGAACTACATTCATTTCAAGCTCAATGTCTTCACAAAGTAAAAACAGAGAAAGTCAGAAAGTCAATCTGAATTTGAAAAGATCTTTATTTTTCAGAGTTTTAAGGTGGATCCTCAATTATGTCATGTTGAGAAGAATTTTATTCTAGATGGCTAACAGAAGAACTTTTGTCAGTAGAACCGACAAAATGTGCCTGGAAAATGTTCAGCTATTTTGAAAATAAATGTCAGGACGTCAGCTCCCCTTCTCTTTCCGCAGGCTATCATTATTTGGCCATATAACTAGCTCATTAGCACTGGCCATATATATTAACCCCATGAGGGATGTGTAAACAAAGTGAGGCAGAGTCTGCTAATTGGCTTTCAGTGCCTTAATGTCACATACATAAGAAAACTTACTTTGGTTTTCTTCTTCAATGTTCCTTTTTCAGTTGGGCAATTTACTCTAGATTTATATTCACAGTCATTAAAAAAAACAATAAAAGAAAAGTAATTCTATCATTTTTCAGTCAGTAATGCTGGCCAACTGAATCTGACGTAGACAGTAGAGAATGTATACTTGCTGGAGGAGAGAGGAAGCTAGCATTCATAAAGCCTTTGTCATTATCCCAGTAATAGTAACATTCTAAAAGTCTCTATCACTTATGCTCTGTCTTCATTTTGCAATCTTATAGTGTATACGGTATATCTAGTATATACAGTATTAATAACTTCAAGGTAGTCATGGAACATCCAAGAACAAATGGGCTTTTTTTATATTTGCATTTTTTAACTTATTAACCTGGCAAAAATATGAAAAAAAGGATCAAACTTACATAGTCAGTAGTTATATAATTTTCATTTAAGATCCCATTGTCACACACATTATTTAAAGTAATTCAGCTTATTTATTAATTTTTTTCAAAATGTGGAACGTTTCACGAATTTGCATGTCATCCTTGCGCAGGGGAGATGTTAATCTCTGTATTGTTACAATTTTAGTATATATGCTGTCACGTGAGCACAATTCAGCTTATTTTTTACTCTACCTTAGAAGTCAGTTTGAAGATGGATTCAGTGGATAGATGGAAAGAGGGAAAGGAATTAGACTTGGGGAATTGTATTTCTAGCCCATGTAGTTCTGTAACTTATTTATGCAGATAAAACTCCATCTTCAAGTTAGTGACTTCAAGATTTCTCTGTAAGGATGTTTATCATGACATTGTATATAACAGCAAAAAGGTGGAAATGCTTGGATGTCTAACCCTAAGGGATTAATTGATCAATATAGAATGCTAATATGGCAGGATGTTAAATAGCCATTACAAGATATTGAAAAATATCATTATAAGTAAGAATATAAGATCATAAAATATTATCTTATACTTACAAAATAAATATGCACATATATATTTATTGTATATGTGCATATATATATATATAGTAGAATATATATTTATATGTATGATAAATACTGGAAGGACATTCACAAAAATGGAAATATGGTTTATCTTCATGCCTTGGGATTACAGATGGTTATTAGCTTCTCCTTTATACTTATAGCATTAAAAAAATCTTTTATAGTAACATGTTATAGGATTACTTTTCTAATAAGATAAAGAAATAAAATATATTTTAAGTAAGATTTACGTCATTCAGGAAAAAATATTTTTAAAATATATATATACATGTGACTGCATTTTTGTGTGTGTGTGTGTATATATATATATGTGTGTGTGTGTATATATATATATATATATATACACACATAGATATTTATGTACTTATATAATTTAAGATATATCACTGAACATGTCTTGTCACACAAAAATGCATCTAAACCTGGGTTGATAGGACTGTAAATAAATGATCAATGAAATAGTTTTCATTTTTATTTTGCACTCTGATTACTTAGCAAAAGCAGAAATGAGCTAGTGCCTTGAAAGTCTGATTTCCGTAGGCTTGCCCTAATCTTGTAGCATTAATTCAAGGTTGGATATGTTTTCAATTTTCCTTTTAATCAAGTCTATGAGCCAGAAACCAGGAAAGGAGATCACTGTAGCTGACTTGCAGCTGTAGTTCCTCACCTTCAAAAGTGAAGATCAGGCATATCAGGAGTACAAAGTTCATTTAGCCCAAAACAAGAAAGAAAAAAAATCAAATTATACCCCCCCAATATACCCACACATTCACCTCACAGTATTTCCCAAGATTCAGTCACCATTCTTAAAAAATATTTTAATATGAGAGATAATTTTACATCTACTTTAAAAAATCATGTAACTATGCATATATTTTAAAAATAGAAAATGAAAGAGAAAAAAATTCTATAATCTCACCATTCTAATATATCACAAATGAAATTACAAAAATATTTGTACTAGAATTATTAAAAAACAATTCAATTATATGAGTTTATTCATATCATTATTACATCCTCATTACAAATCTGAATATTTAAATGTACAGAATAGGTAGAATGCTTTTGTGTTTTCATAATGATTTTTAATTGGTTCTCTTGTAGCATATGTGTGTCCATATCTCCATGTTATAATTTTCATAGTCCCCTATATTTTCTATTAAAACACAGATCACAGTAAGTAGATATAATTTCATAATTTTATTTATTAACATATCTCCTTAATAAGATTCTAAGAAATTAGAGTATGCGGACTATTCTAGCTGTTGATTACTCTGGTATCCCTGGCAGCCAGCTCAGTTATTGGCACAGAGTTAAGGCTGAAAATGAAAGAATGACAATTATCTAATGAGTGAATAAGAAGTCTCTTCACTTAATCAGCATCATTTGGTCCACTTTGAGTCTACTATCTACTTTTGAATCAAACATCTCTTTTCATAGAGTTTCCTTACATTCTTTCTTTGAAAATTTATTTTAGGATTATTTTGTTTAACCATATATTGCAGGGTTATTTAAAAATATGCATTTTATAGGATGTAAATGCACAATTTACACCCTGTAAAACCTACACTCACAGGAAGTCTGAATTTCAGGGACCATGATAGACATCCATGAGTGCGTAATACTTGCCATTGTGGTATAATGGAAACACCAATATACCACAATATGTGATTGTAGTATACTGGAAACACGTATTCTGGAATAAAATTAACCTGGGTTCAAATGCATGCTTGCTTACGTACTTGTGTGATCTAGGATAGGTTATCCTGATTTCTTTGAGTGTCAATGTAAACATAGATAAATTCAAAATGTATGCAACTTAACTGGCCAAGGTTGTAGCTGTAAATAATAAATAACATGTATATAGTACCCGGTACATGGAGAAAATTTTCATAATATTAGTTCCAATCCCTAACAAACTCATCGACATTACTGTAATACTAAATAAAGAACCAGTGACTTTGGTTTTCTACTTTGTACAGGATTTCATGTTTTATATCCTATTTAGGAAATCATAACTGTGAATAAAATAATTTGTAAAACTCATGCTATCTATGGAGTTGTCTCAGGATCATGGACTGCTTTTACTGAAACAACAAATAATTTGTTTCCTGGAAGAGTTTCTTTCATAGTATAATATCACTAACACAAACCACCTTCAGAGAAAAAAATTGCAAGGCACAAAGAAGCTACAGATATAGTGAAAAAAATCATTAATTATGATAAACATACATTAGTCAAGCAACAAAGTTCATATACTAAATTATTAGAGTGTCGACAGTTTGCCATTCAAAGCAGATGGCAGAGATCTTGGAATCACATTATAAGTAAAGTAACAACATGCCTGCCTGTCTTTATGATTATGTACTGCCAGGGATTTGAATCAACTGAAAGAAAACATGATTTATTCAATGACACAGTTACGTTATACCCAATTGTTTTATCAATAATTAGTAGAGATTTATACTTCACAGGTAGTCAGCTGAAGTTAACTGGGTTCTTGGCATAAAAAAAAAAAAAAAAAAAAAAAAAACACTGTAGGGTTTATGAAGCAAATAGACTGCATGTATGGTTCTTATAGTCATTGACTCCCTGAATTTTGTTTTTTAAGTAACCTCTTGTTTTATTCAGGGATAATAGGAAAGAACATGTAAATAAATAAACTTTGCACACAAAAATCCAGATATATGAAACTTTGAACATATTTTCCCACAAAACTAACAAAAATAATACTTATTATTAGTCAATAAATATCTGCCACTTTACATGAATTATCTCATTTAATACTTACCACAACCCTATGAGCATGGTTCTATCATTAACCCCAATTTGCAAATGAGGAAATTTGGGCTTGTAGAAGTTGAGAAACTTAACTGAGTTCAGATAGTTGGTAAATTGGCAAATTCCAGTGAATGTGCTATTCAATCTCTCCAAAACCTATTATCTTAACTATTCCCACCCAGGAACTGCTAATAAGAATTCAAATAAAATGATTAGAGAGTGTCACGCCATCATAGATATTGATCATTAATGATCAATAAAATAACTAAAAGGCAAGTAATCAGCGGAGTATATAACAAAAAGCAGCCTAGTGCATAGACTTTACAAGTGAAGGTGACCTTTAAGATCACTTTGTTCAGTGTCCTCATGATAGAGTCCGAGATAGGGAAGATAAGGAAGACTGAGCCCAGGTCACTTCCTATGGCCTGACAACTTCTCATAGTATCATTGTATAAAACCCTTAATAATATGTCTTCCTAAACAGCTGGAAAATATTCCATCCTACTTCTGACCTCTACCTTGATTTTGTAAGAATTCAATAATTTAGACAACATGTAATGTAGCTTTCTTCTTGTTGTTCTGAAATAATTGCCATGTCAGTGAGACCTAAGCTAGTGATCAGCTCTGTGGAAAAGGAAATGAAACATTCTATGAATGGGGTAATTTTCTTCTCTAATGAAGTAAGAAAATAAGCAGTTGGTGAACTAATGTTTAGCATATTTATAGTCACTTCCATGCTACTAAAAATGATACAATATCCCATCTGCTTGTGGCTGCATAATGGGTTAAGAACACAATGGAACTCTACTATCAACATTAGTTCCAAAACACCTGGTTGTGTAAGAAGGGGAAATCTAGGGATTCAGAACTTGCTCCAGGAAATATCTTCAGTTTAACTTCATCTTCGTCTCCATTTTACTCTTCATACTCTCAGCAATTACATGTTCAATTGTCTTTCTTGGGCTCTTTTTGCTTTCTAAATATATGCTTTTATTTTTCCATGGACATATTTGATCTCTTCAAACTATTTTCCTCATGAATCAGCTCTGTCCTATCTTGCTACATAGTATGTTCTTGTTCCTTCATCTGTTGTTGCAACATGTTGCATACCTGACATATAACTCTAATCTAATTCAGAACAACTTGATATTTAGGGAACTCGATCATGCAGTAATTCATGAAGTAATTTTTCTATGACAGGTCTATGTTAGGAACTGACCATACAAGAAGTCAATATCCAACTCTCCCATAGTTAAACGTACTTAAGAATCAGCTATGTACAAGGTGTTACAGAAGAAATTGACCCAGTTTGGCTGCCACAGATATCTTCTTCAGGGAAGCAATCCTGAGCTGAGGCTTGAAAACTTAGTAAGAAATTTAGCTTGGTAAATTGGGAGGGAAGAGCATTCTAGCCAGAAGGGGTAGCATGTGTTACCTTGACATATAAAGAAAGCAGTACCAAAGTTCCAAATAATTAGACACACTTTTAATCTATTTCTATTTTTACTTTTTTTTGCAATCAGCTTTCATAGATTGAATTTTTTTTCTTTTGCAATCAGTGTTCTCACATTGAATACACTTTAAATTTACAAAGCAAACAAAGGTTTGCCTTTCAATTACTGTCAGCTAAAGTGAGCAATGGCAATGGATTTCAGATCATCATCACTATCATAGATATCTTCTGAAACCTTGGGCTAGTCCATTTTTCTATCTGTAAATGAGAATAAATTGTCTAAATCCACACAGAGTAGTTGCGATGGTTATGTGAGAAGAATCCATGTTGTACGCTAAGCATCATGCCTTGCACAAATTAATTTAACTATTATTAATTAATTTCCAAGTCTAGATCAGGTATTCTAGTGGAAAATTAGAGAGATCTGGTTATAGAAAAAGACAAGAAGTCATTTAAATTTTTAATACCTATATGTTTATATATATAGATACATATATATATATGTATATACACATGCATATACACACAATATGTATATACGTAGATCCCTGAACCCAACAGTTTAGGCTGACATAAAAGAGCCAATAAATAAAGGAAGTTCACAAAGTTGAGGAGTTAAAACAGGTAAGGGAAGTGCTAAATGAAAGAATGTCGTTCTTGGGTTTTTAACCATGACCTAAAATTACATTTGTTCTCAGAACTTAATATCCTAAATGGCTTTAAGAGTCTAGGAACTTGGTATCCCTTTTGTGCCCTCAGTTTAACCCTAGAACACATGTTGTTCTTTGGGCATAGCTATGTAGTTATTAATTATTGACTGAAAGGCACAAGTCCTTAATCAATCTGCGATAGGTTTCCTTAAAGATGCCCCCACTCCATTTAAATACAAGCAGTGTTTTACTTTCAAAAGGCACTTCCTCAACTGAAGGCTGATTTTCTGCAAGCAAAAGGAGCTGTGGCATTTCATTCTGGAAGCCTGAAAAGAAGTGTTAATTATTTACTAGAGTAAGAGGTAGCTGATTAAACTAATATGTTTAATATTTACCAGAATCTATTTTTTTAATAAATGAGCACTCCAAGATAGGTCCAAGTAGAGGATACTTAATGTTTCTGTTTAATCTCATTTTTATCTTAATTACTTCCAAGAACAAGTCTTGAAAAGGAAAAGTAAATAAATAAAAGTTTATCATGTTAAAGTTGTTAGCCTTATGAAAGTTAGTATCTGCAATGCTTGAAAGAGCACGGTGGCTCATGCCTGTAATCCCAGTACGCTGGGAGACTGAGGTGGGAGGATCTCTTGAGCCCAGAAGTTCGAGACCAGACTGCGCAATATTGCAAAACCTTATTTCTACAAAAAATACCAAAATCAGCTGGCCATTGTGGTACACGCCTATAGCCCTGCTACTCAGGATGCTGGGGTGGAAGGATTGCTTGATGCTGGGAGGTGGAGGCTGCAGTGAGCTGTGATCATGCCACTGCATTCCAGCCTGGGTGATAGAGTGAGACTGTGATCTACTGTATTTTAGGGACCATGATCCCTACTAAACTTTGAGTCCATCTAGGACAAGTCTGTGTCTTATTTTCTTATAGGATATGCTGAGTCTTATTCTACTGACCCTTCTGTGCTAATGTCATGCCCACCACTGAAGGACTTTTGGATGGATAAAATAAGTAGACAGACAAACGAATCAATCATACATACATGCATAAAGAATCATGAATTATTACAGAGCACTATATAGCTAAGTATGAAAAAATAAGTGGAATACACATTTTGTCTTTAGTTCATAGAAAAATACAACTTGTTGCTGACTGTGGACTCTGAAATAAGATTAAAATAAGAGTTCTGTTTAAATTAAAATAGCTGCCTGGATAGAAAGTTTCTTTAAGAGAAATTACACTAACACTGTTTCTATCAACACATTTTCAGCAGTCTTAGTATTTTTTTATCCTGGTATTTAATGAACATTTATTGGCCAATAACATGTGTTATAAATAAGACTATTTCTTGCAATTGGCAGAAATTTTGACAATTTAATGGTAATGTTAGATATTTCATGCTTACCGGAATTTCTGATTCATATATGTTAAATTAATTAAAAATGAGAAAACACTTTATTATCTGGTAGTGTCCAGACTTTTTCTAAATGTGGTGTCTACAAAAGGAGGAAGGAGTAATAGATGATTTTTAAAAGTTGAGAATCCAAGTTTGTTAAATAATTACTTTTCAATAATGCACTCTTTTCTTTTAAAAATTTCCTATTTTTTCTTTTTAAAATGACGCATTCACATTAATTGCTCTGTGTTTACTCTAACATTTAAAACATATAAAATACAATTATTTACAGGAATATACAAAAAAATGGAATGCATGTGTATTATTTTAAAAATTAAACATTAGAATGCTCATCCTATGATAAGGGGAGATCCAGGGGCCTGAAGAGAGGGTGTAGGTCATGCTGCAGCTCTCAAAGTGGCTGTCCTATTCACTGTCAGCAAAGTTAGTAAACAAACAAAAAAAAAGATTTACTCCATAATTTCATCCAATCTGTAAATGTAAAACTAAAATAGGATCTCCCAATCTATTAAATACAGTCATCTGATTGGATTATGGCAATTGATATGATTAGATGAACACTTAAATCAGATAAGGTAACCAATGTGCTGACATCATGATTTTAAAGCCTATGATTTTGGTAATTCCAGCATTCTGATTACTATTGGTCACACTTGAATACAGTATTGCGCTTATTTGTGCTTTTGCCTTCCAAGATTTCAGTTACCTGTGGTCAACTGCAGTCAGAAAATAGGTGAATACAGTACCATAAGATATTTTAAGAGAGGGAGAGAGAAAAAGAGAGAGAGAGAGAAAGAAAAAGAGAGAGAGAGAGACCACATTCACATAACTTTTAGTACAGTACATTAGGTTTGTTCTATTTTGTTATTAATTATTGTTATATCTTATTGTGCTTAATTTATGTACTAAACTTTATCATGGGTATTTATGGGTAGGAAAAACCTGTATGTAGAGTTTGATACTTTTCATGGTTTCAGGTATTCGCTGGGAGTCTTGGAACCTATCCTCCAAGAATAAGGGATTAACACCGTGCACGGAATAATGAAGCTTCTTCAGGTGCTAGTCCATTTGGGGAGGCAGCCTCAAGAGATACACCACAAGGCTTGCAATAACCCTACCTTTTTCTTTAAATGTAGGATTTGCCAGTTTTATCTCCAAGACTGATGACTTCAAACAAGAACACCCCAGGACATATTGGAACAATTTGACCCAATGACAATTCCTCCTATACAAGACTGGTTGCACCCTTCTTTAATAAGTGAGAGTGCTGGTTGATACATGGTCACAGTGTCCTTTGCCTCATTAATTACTTTTATCTTGTAAGATGTCACACTACAAAAATGTCCAATTATACTTTTTACCCAGTGAAGAACATTCCAGTGTTCTTCAGTTGGCTTTTTAAAATTCTTTAGGCCTCAGTTCCCCCCACCTTTTTTGGGAAAAAGGGGGACCTCTAGGCCTCTAACTTTTATCCAGTTAGGGGCCCCCCTTTTTTCCCCCAAACTCTAATTCTCTACTTCAAATTATTCTCAAAATATTTCCATGTTTGTTTGTATCATCTGAAAGCATTTTTTTTTCATTACACAAAAACTTATTTATTTACTACCACCACATTCATGGTATAGCTAGGGATGAGAGAGAAGAGGGAGGGAGGGAGCCTTAATTAAAAGAAAAAACAAATATTGATTTTGCTCTTGAGGTGATTATAGACTAGCATGGCCATGTGTCTAAGTAACTATATTTAATGAGGTTTTTAAATAGTAGTAATTACCAAAAGAAAGAAACAAAGAAAACTCAAGGCAGAAAAGCAATAACAAATACTTAAAGAGCTCCTATTCTTCTTCATGGAAGAATAGAAATGAACCTGGCAAGGAAGGACACAGAATAATTGAACACGGTGTGATAAACAGAAAGACTTCAAGACAGATAGAAACATTTAGTAGCAACTTTTTTCTTTAATTACAAAAGCAAAATGCTTCATGATAGACTAGAAACCAAACTTGGAGGCAGAAAAGCTAAAGGTTTTAGTATACAGGTAAATGGTGGTGGAAGAAACTGGAGAATAATATAATTTGTAGCACTTCAGAGTATATGTGTACAAAACCTGTTAATTCTTTAAAATAAGTAAAACTAAAAGGCAGCAAAATTCCTCTAAGGTTTCTAATTTTAGAAGCTTATGAGACATCAGGCATAGGCCTTCATGGCACAGACAGCCAAGAGGGATGGCATTGGGTCGTGTGCCCCTGTCCCTGGATCACATAGTATTAAAGGATAGTAGAGGTAAAAGACATCTTCTCAGTGTGATGTAATGAATACCAAGAAGGTCACTGTGTCCCAAATAATGTTTCCCTTAAAAGGGTGAGAGGGACTGAAATTCTAGAGTCAATTACTATGTATTGAAAGTGTACTCTTGGGCACATTCATTCATTCCTTCATTCAATTTGTCCTTGAGCACCTACTTACTTTATGACAGGTATTGTACTATGCCAAGAATGTAAAACTGAAAGAGATAATCTAGCATATATATGTTCTTCCTTCTTCCATGAGTTCACTCCACCACCACATGCATACATTCTAGTGTTCTTCGGTTGGCTTTTTAAAATCCTTTAGGCCTCAGTTTTAATTTATATCACATCCTTTTATTCCATAAAGATAGTCTCCTCTTCTATTCTTTCTCACAGAAGCCTGCTCTTTTTTTTTTCTTGGATACATTTCTCCCAACATGCCATTATATTCTTATTTGTACTTTACTTGTTTTGATTTTTCTCTCCCAGAATAGAATGACTTTTCTCTGAAGCAGAAGCCCAATCTGTTTTGTTTACTGTTATATATTCACTGTCTCACAAAGTGCTGTTGCATTGTAGATATTCTAAAAGTTATAGTAAACATATTAACGAACATGCTGTTCAGGAGGGAAACCACCACTGAGTTGAGAATTAGGTATGCTGTGAACTCGTCTCCTATTCATTATGGGTGAACGATAGTCCCAGCTTCTCCAGAACTTAGGCATTTCTTGGAAACATAGAATTCTCACTACTTACACAGAGGCAGTCCTAGGTAAACTGAGATGGTTGGTCATCCTTGCAAATGAGAGGTATGGTTTGTAGAATAATAGACATTGCAGTGTATGACTGGAATTGCACTAATCATGATTTACATTTGCATCATACTTTCTAAATTTTAAGAGAACATTCAATGAAAACATCTCCCTGTTCCTTCACAGTCCTTTGAGATATAGAAAGGCAAGAGATTATTACTTTTATGTTACAGATGATGAAATTGAGGCTCAGAGAATTTAACAGATTTCTCCAGAGTCACTTGCCTAATAAACACAGCCACGGTACTGGAAGCCATGCCTTTGGAAAGATGCCTACTGCTATGCCTGATCCAACCAATCACACTGTTTAACTAACTCACATGGGAATTAAAGCTGTGACCGTGGTCTAATTAACATCACATTTCTAGTAACTATGCAGTCTGAAACAAGTGGATGTTCATAGTCAACAAATCTGAAATATAGCTACATAAGCTCTTTTATCACTTCTGTAACAAGCACAGTATTTATTAGGAGTATTTTCTGTGAACTGGTATATTCTCTAGACCTTTGAAATGTTTTTAGCCGTATGTTTTAGATTTTCAATGTAATGTTGTTGTTGTCGTTAACTGTTTTCTTGCCACCATCTCATTATATGTGTGACCTATGTCTACTCTTTGAAGCTCACTCTATCATTTTGTGACCCTTGTGTATATACATAGGACTTCACTAATGATAGGAATGTTTTTCTTTACCCATTGTTCAGCTCTGAAAGAGCCCTGAGAAATGACCAACTGTAGGTAATTAGAAGCTACTGAAATTAAACATAAGAAAATGTATCCCTGTAAAAAAGCAGAAGGCAAAAAAAAAATAAATCTTAGGCAAGGATCTAAAAGCCTGCTTTTTAAGCAGTTAGAATGTAATGAATATAAGTAAAACTAGCCGTATTTAAAAAATGTGGATATTTACTAAAAAAAATTTTCCCTCTGTGGCCATTTAGGAAAATCATCACTCTTTACTTGTCTTCTGGATGAGGTAGGAACTATTCTGATAAGAGATTCACTAAGGGTCAAAAGTAAAGATCTGTAAGCTAAAAAGAGATAACATATTAGAATGAGTCAATGCTTTTTAATCTTTATGTTTGACAACTTCAACCTCTAGCTTACCTGAGAGTGAAACTACAGTGAATATGAAATCCATTAAGAATGAAATCAAAGCAGCAGTGTGTACAGCGAACACCTTCCACAAATAAATTGATTAGGGGAGATATATGTCATCCCAGTTTGGGTGGGAAAGGGAATTACAAAGACAAAGTTATTGGTTTTGAATTCAGAAATTACATTACACTGATTTCAAATTTGAAAAGAAGATATCCATTTGGATAATCACAACCTAGGAACAAATATAAGAAAACGTCTTTCTCAATGGTGAGCCTCGTTGCAACTCTTGCTGACAAGTATAACAAAGATTTTCTAACCAAGAATGAACCTCTGCCCTTACCCACTTGCTTTATTTTATGCAGACCTCAAGGCGTGATCCACACATTTGAAAGCAGATGGGGAAGAAAAAGCAGTTCACTCCCGTTCTAATCCTCCTATTTTTCTAGAGCATCTTTCTTCTTTCATGGGTGCTTACTTCTTTTTATTTCAAAGGACTAAATGTTCTTTAGCTTCCAGAATGATCATTTTTCATACATGAATAAAAAGAAAACAGTAAGAATTCTTGTCATTAAGGCTATTTTACTTCAAGGCCAAGAAGAAAATTGCCAAAGAACCAAAGGCTTTGTCAGTAAATGCTTCAACTATTCTCCCCAATATTAATCTTATAATAAATCAAAATTAAGAAGTAGGCTGTTGACAAGAAAACAGTTGAAAAGTGCTAAAATTGGGATGGTTTAGATGTATTCAGATGTGGCATGTTTAATAACACAGCGTGTGAAAAGCAGGGGAAACATTTAATAAGCTTGCATTCATGGTAGCATTTTTGTTCTTTAATGAATAATGAGTTAGATTATGCAGGGAAAAAACTCATTAAAGTAAAGGAAAAACACTCAGTATAATTTGGAAAGATGTTCATAAATGTTCAAGAATTATAGCAGTAAATAATTACACTATCCAAATAAAACAAAAACAACAATATTAATGTTAACCAAAGTCAAGCATGTGGTATAAAATGACATTTTGATTGATAAAAAGCAACATCTAAACTGTAAACGTAATAGGTCCACTCTTACAAGTAAATAACATAGCATTAAAATATATTTAAAAATCCACTTCTAAAAATAAAAAGGAAATACATACACAGACAATGGTAATATTTTAACAATCCATTATCAGCCCATAAAAACAAAATAAAATACATAAATCAAAACATAGAGAAAAACCCTATTGTTATTAATAAAACAGAATCAGTAAGTTGTAATTTTAAACATTATGCTGTTTTAGCAACAAAAATACAACTACATCTCAAGTGTCAACGGAACAATTAAAAACACTGATCAACTATATGGTGGCAAAATGTTATATATTTTATAAAGTAGAAATTTTACATAAGTCTAACTGGAATATTTTGAAAAGTAAATTGCTTAGAGATTTAAAAACTTAAATATTTGGTCAATAACAAACTATTTAGAAATCAACAAAAATGAATGCCACATTTTAAATTTAAGAAATACAATAAAATGTAGTTATAGATCATTTCATGCTTTTAATACTTTGATTATTATTAGAGTAAATAAGTAGCATTTATAAATAATTGACATTATTAAACATTATTATTTTAAAACAGAGAAAATAAGTAGAAAGAATATCCAATTCAAGAGTTTTAAATGAGAAAAAAAAAGACCACAAGAAAGCAGAAGGTAGTAAGTATCATACAGAGCAAAAATTAAAAAGCAGAAACAGAGAGAAATTAAAAACTACGCACCCAGCAGTTTTTTTTTTTTTTTTTTTTTTCAAAGAAAAGCAGTGACACTGACCAACCTCTCTGAGGTCTAATGAAGAAAAACAAAAAAATTTTAAAAAGAACAAGGCAAACAGCTGAAAAGGAAATTTAAAACATTTAAGGGAATATTTTGTATGCATGCTTCAAATAATTTATAAATTTCCACGAAATAGATTGTTTTCTGAAAATATATAAATCATTAAAATTGGCTAATAAGAAGTATAAAGCTCACCTAGATCATTTATATAGAAAAAAACCTGAAAAATATGTATCCAGAAGAAAAACTTTAGAGCCAGTACTAATACTTATTAATTTTCTCACACTTTTAGAAATTAATTTTCATCTTACTTAATTCATCTCAAAATATTAGCAACAGGAGAAAAAGTTACTTGCTGAGCATGAGGCAGAGCTATGACACAGGCCAACGATGTTCTACTATTTCTTACTGTATGGTAAGTGATTCTTTCCGGTATGACAAAGCATATATATCTATAAAAATATGTTTTTTTTTAAGCCCATGTTATGGTGTGTGGGTGGGGGAATACAAAAGCTCAGTGAAATAAAATAATTTACCCAAAGACACCTACTGGAGGATTCCGATCTGTCAGTTTTAAAGTTGATACTGTTTCTGCTACTTTGCACAAGCCCTGAATCATTGACCTTCAGCCAGCACTCACATTCTGACAGTAATTCTGCAGTTACAATCCTCCTAAGAGTTCACCTTCATTTGTATTCTATAACGACACTTAGCTCTCAAGCCTCAATTCTATTTGATAATGCAAAACTGAATTCTTTTAAGTCAAGAGAATTTAGTTACTTCTGGTTTAAACTACATTTCTTCTGGGAAACTACTCAATTACTTCAGAATTTCTCTCAGGACTTTTCTCTCTTTATCTGTCTCTTCTCTTTAGGGTGATGAAGCTCTGGGGGTTCTGGAGTGAGGGTGAGGGGCTTACAGGGTGTAGGCAGAGGGGGACCTGGTTCATGACTGTTTCTTTGGTAGTGTATATGGCTCAGGATACTCTACTCTTCCTTTAGCTCAGGCAAGAGAGGAAATGACCATTGTCATTGCCCAGATTTAGCCATCTTCTGCTTATACCCGGCTATAGAATCTTTGCACCTCTGGGACCTCCAGCAGTTATGCTAGCTCTCATCTTTAAGCTCTTTTCTTGCACCACTCACTGGCTTTCTTCTTTTCATGGAGAATTGAGTATCAGTTTTCAGTCCTCTTTTTCATTTGGCCTGTCCTGCCACCTATTCTACTCAACCATTGCAGCTCTAGTTTGAGATAAACAACTAGAGTTGAGATAAACACCTAACTTTTTAGTTGTTCATCTCAAACCAGAACTGTAACAGTTGAGTAGAACAGGTGGCAGGAATAGGCCAAATGAACACCTCTATATCCCCCTTAGTTCCACCTGAAAGGCAGGACATCTCTGTCCTCTGCAGTTTTACTAGCTTTTGATTTTCAGAAAGGGCTAATGAGTAATTTTCAGAAATCCAGTACATTGAATGCTAATACCTGCATGTTGAAGTTTTCTTTCTCTAACCCTCTGAACAGGTCCTAGCTTCAACAGTAGCCTAGAACAAATCACGATGTCTGAGATGGAGTTAGGGAGTAACCCTAAGACCCCCAGAGAATTCTTAGATCATGAATGAGTTCTCAACAGCCCCTTAGTGTTTAGGATAGAATAAAGAAATCTCCAGGGAATCCAAGTCTCTAACCTTCATCTTGCAAACAAATCAACAATTTAGAAGACAGGCTTATTATATTTTTAATCCTAGATTATGTAATCATCATTTCAGAACTTTGAAACAAAAGATTGAATAAGAAAAAAAAATAATGTATCAACTAAATTGGCAGCTTCCAAAAATTCTTTTGATTAACTTAATTTAAAAATTTTTCTTTCAATCTTCACAGTATAATTTTATCATGCTGGATCACTGAAGCAAGGAGAAGTTTTAGAAGCAAAAGATGTACAAAAGATAGCCAGGAGTTTGCAATTTTTTTAAATAAAAATTTTAGTGGAATGAATTAAGGAATCATCCCTTAGCTAATTCACCTAGTTCAGGCTTTAGAAAAATTTATTTGGTATCTCAACTACTCTACTAACATAGAAAATACAACTCAGATAAGAATACCTGCACAATCTATTGACTTCAAATTTTCATGACATATAGGCTAGTAGGCAGTGTATATAGCTGATTCAGTTATACCACATAAATATGCACTTTACACAAAATTAAGAAACCACAAAAAGTTTCCAGAATTATTGAAGTTATCCTAAAGGCCTCTTTTTCTGTCAGCCCCCTTTAGCTTGTCATTTACCAAATATTTTCAGTTCTACTACCTTCGTATCTTTGATTCTGGCAAATGTCTTTTATTCTGGTAGTCAATGATTTAGTTTGATATTATGTTGTGTTATTTACCACAATGGCTTTATAAATATTCCTCTTCCTTCCTTCCTTCCACCTCCAATTTGATATTCATATTTACCAATCTTTCTGATCTTATGTTTCAAAGATTCTTTTATAGTTTCCTATTACCTTCAGAATAAAAAATTCCCAACAACTTAAGATGGAACCTAGGAGCTCCATGGCCTCATGCCTTCTTACTCCTTCTGCCTGACCTCTCCCTTCTATCTCCTCATTATTCTACTGGCTACACTGGTGACTCCTAGAAATTGTCACGCTTTCATCTCCAGACTTTGCACATGCTTTTTGTCCCTCTTTCTCGACTCTCCTTTCTCTCTTCCCTCCCTTCACTTAGGTAATTCTTATTTATCTTTCAAGTTGCAGTTCAAGCAGCATTTCTTCTCAGAAATCATTCTTTCTTCAAGCATTCCCATGCCCTATCAGAATTAGGATACTCCTCTCCAATGGGATCCCATAGGCCACTGTGGATGTCTTCTCTATTAAGCACCATACTGAAATAGTTTGTTTCTCCTTAGGCAGTAATTCCCCACAACACAGTGAATATATATATATATATGTGTGTGTGTGTGTGTGTGTGTGTGTGTGTGTGTGTGTGTGTGTGTGTGTGTTATATTTATAAACCGAGAATCTAGTACAATTTTCAATGACATAGTAGTCATTCAAAAAGTATTTTGTTCACTGAGTCATTCAATAAATAGAGTGAGTTACTTGATGGGTATGTAATTGTGAGTGTGTTAGTCCATTTTGCATTGCTGTAAAGGAATACCTGTGTCTGGGTAATTTATAAAGTAAAGAGGCTTATTTGGTTCACAGTTTATGGGCTAAAAAAGAAGCATGAACCAGCATCTGCTTCTGGTGAGGGCTCCAGGCTGCTTCTTTTATGGCAGAAGGGGAAGACGAGTCAGTGCATTACATGTCAAGACAGGGAGCAAGAGGGAGAGGAGGTAGTGCCAGGCTCCTTCTAATAACCAGATTTCCTAGGAAGTAATAGAGTGAGAACTCACTCCTTACCATGGGAGGGGTACCAAGCCAGTCATGAAAGATCTGCCCCTTGACCCAAATACCTCTCACTAGATCCCACCTCCAATGCTGGGACTAGATTTCAACATGAGATTTTAAGAGGTCATTGTTTCTTCATCTATAAAATTGGTATGTTACACCTATCTCCTAAGATTTGTAAAAGAATTAAATGACATCATCCGAGACAATTCTTTGCTCAAGAAATGTGTGATAGACTTGTGTTTATATCCCTATTCCTCCACTTTAATTGGCAGTGCCACCTACTTTCATTGCCTGTGTTACCTAGAGCAAGTTTCATAATCTCCCAAGCTTCCTATTTCTCAGCTATTAAGAATTTAATGTTAGTACCTCCCAACATTTAAATGAGATGAAGCACATAAAGGATGTAGCAGTAATTACAGATAGTAAATAACAGTTTGTTGTGATTATTATTAATAATAACTTTTGGTGCCAATAATACTTATTATTAATGACATAGGTTATAAGGAAACCTGTGATTATGACCCCAGAAGGCAGTAGCATTACAAAGAAGGATCCAGATCTTCATTACACATGTAAAGGAATGACTTCCCAAAACAAAAATTTACACTTTGAGAAAAACAAAATACATAACAAAAATGAATTGATTATTGTTATTAACATGTGGAGTATATTTGAAGCTAATATCAATAAATTATTCCCAAGAGTTATATCATTTCTTCCTAGAATTAAAAGAACTTTGATGACAGGGAATAATAATAGTTAGCAATGTACATATCTAGGGCAATATTTTTCACATTCCTCAACTACGTTGGAACATTAAGCATCAAGGGAAGCCAAAATAGCTCAGACAAAAGGGAAGAGAAATTAAGAATGACTTTAGAGAAAGCAAAGGAAACATGATTTTCATTTGACCTACATTTATAAAGGAAAGTACTGCAACATAGAAACAATGAGAAAAGGTTGGGCAAACTGAATATCCAATACTTAAATCAAATTTTTGCTACAGATTAGGGAGATTTTCAGATTATTTTTTAAACCAGTAATTTGTTAACTATATTTAAAGAACAAGAATATCTGTTGTAAAACATAAATTTTAAGGATTTGGTTATTCCAAAAGAAATTTTGTCTTTAATTGTTGCTTCTAACCAGTTTTGACAGGGAACATGTCTTTTAGCTGCCACAGAAAACCTAATAATTCATTATTTTCCACATATTTAACATGACTGATAAAGTTAGTACTACATCAAACAGAGACAGCTTGGTGCCTGCCCTAAGGGTAGGAAAAAAAAAATTCAAAATGGGAGGAGAACACAGCCTTAATACGTACATTATATTTATCTTTTGACTTTGGCTATATTTGGCAGCTTCTCAGCACAAATGGCATTTTCTCTGTAGTATCAACTAATACACTGCAGAAAGGTTAGCACTGTTACTTTCAAAAGAAATTAAACACTGCTGATAAAGCTGCTTTCATTGTTCTCCATTTACTTAAGTAGCTTAAAACCTTTTTTGGAAGAAATCAGAGAATGAAACATAAACATTTTCCTTAAGCAAAGCACATTCCTTTCAGTGCCAGCACTGGTTATATTGGGATATCCAACTTATCTAGGTACAATTTTGAGGTGCTTGGATTATGGTGAAAGGGGCAAGGCAGATATATTTTAAATATTTCTTTTTGTGACAAGATTGGAAAACCAAAAAAGGCAAATCATTGAAAAGACTTGTTTGAATCAAAGCACACGTACATAATGAACAAGCCTCTAGCTCTATGATCAGAACTACAGAAGGACCGGATCATTCCATTAAACACAATCAGGAGAAGGTGTGTGTGTGTGTGTGTGTGTGTGTGTGTGTGTGTGTGTGTGTGTAGGGGAGGAGGCAGAATGGGGAAAAAGGACAAAAAAAAAATGAGCAGAACAAGTAATTCAGTACACATACAAATCCTAGACAGGAAAAATGTTAAGAGCATTGAAGAAAATATTGTGAATAAAATTGCCAGCCCCCTGCTCCCAAATAGGTCTTCCCAATTACATCACATAAATGCTCCGGAGCTAGGAACATGTTTCTCTCTTTACATTTGAATCTCACAAGGAGTTTCTCTGTTGCTTTTTACAAAAGCATGTCATTTGATGACCTTTTGTAAATTTCATCATTACCTTATATTTATATATTTTTATTTATATATTATAAATATTTATTATATATTTAAATGCATTTCTTTCTTCTATCTTGAAAAATATATTACCACCTGCAAACTTTTGATTCTTTGATATCTAAATGTGAGACCAGAAAGCAAGTACCTTTGATCATTAAATATTTTTGTCTCGTAATAGTTCATCAAATTTTTGGTTTGAAATGATACTTACTTATATTGTTAGCATTTAACTTTTTATCCACTAGTCTTATATCATCTCTATCCCTAACTACATTGCAAAACCTTTGTGTCTGTTTCTTGTATCCTCCATAAGGTCAAGCCAGTGCCTTGGATATAGACAATAATTCATTTTAATTTGATTTCATTAGAAACAATCTCAGGTTAGAAATCAGTAATAAATAATGGCTTCATTTTAGAGTTAACATGAACCATCTAGGAAGAAAATAAGAAATTAGGAATAGATAAGAAATTAATACTTCACCCACTCATTTATTTATTCAAAAATATTGGAATGACTTTCATGTGCCAGGTAGTGTTATAAGTCTTTGGGGAAACACTGGTGAACAAGATAGACAAAAATGCTTGCCCTTGATAATTAATATATGTCAGAGGGTAGTAACTGCTATGGACAAAGTGGAAAAGAGGTAAAGCAAGTGCTAGGGAGAGAAGTATCCTGAGAATGGACTGAATTTTTAGTAGGGTGGTCAGAGAAGGCCTCACTCAGAAGGTGATATTGGAGCAAGACTTGCAGGAGGTGGGCAGTGAGCCAGGTGAGTATCTGGGAAAATAATATTTCAGGCAGCGGGAACAAGTACGAAGACCTTGAGGTGGAAACATGTTATGTGTGCTCACAAAACAGCAAGGAGGCCCCTGTGGGTCAAGCATTGGGGGAGAGACAGTGTTGTAGGAGATGAACTCAGAGAACCAATAGGTTTGGAGAGAGGTAAAAGTCATGAAGAGCCTTGGAGAACCCCAGATGGACTCTTCATTTTTATTATGTGGGAGCAACAGAGTGTCATGTAAACTTATTCAATCTTAACAAGAGAAGAGTCATGATGTGACTTATTCTTTAATTGCGCTTTTCTGAAACCAGATTATAAGGGCCGGTAAGGAGGAATGTCAACAATCTAGGCAAGAAATGATAGTTGTTTGGGCCAGGGTAATAGCAGTAAATGTAGTGAGAGTGATAAGATTCAGATTATATATTGAAGTGAGAGTCATCAAGATTTGATAATTTAAATTGTGAAAAAAAAAATCATGGATGACTAAAGATGTCAGGAAATATCTGCAACTTGGAAATAAAACAAACAAAAAAAAGACAGTATGTCCTTTTGTATCAGATCATTGCCTCACAGGCACTGGCAAGGATGATTTAATTCTCTGAGACACGAACTCATGTTGACTTACTATTTACTATTGTGAAATAACTTCACTACTGTGAAATTTTATGTGGAGCTGCATGTTCACTTGGAAACTTTTGCCCAGTAGGGATGCAAATATTTTCATCCAGTAGAGAAGATAATCTCAACAGTGTTATTTTCCTGAAGTTCACCAACCGGTTTGTTCTCTCATTTAGCAAACTTACTTTGCTTGTGTTCCTGGCTGACTCTGTAATGTCTGTTTCTCCTTTGAATCGGCTTTACCTCTTAGGAGTCCTTTGATTTTTTAAATCAACTTTTGTACTCTGCTGGTTTACAAAAATGTGAACTAAGACATTTTTGACACACACTCACTTTATGTTTGTATAAGAGTCACAACTCTTTGTTTTTTAAAGATTATATTGTGACAAAAGTTGTGGGTATGAACAATTGGAATAATGAAGCTACCATTTACTAAACTGGGGAAAACTGTTAGAAGAACAAAGTCTAGGGGAAAAGTCAGTAGCTCTGCTCTGGACAGGGTAATCTTGAGGTATCTACTAGTTATTAAGTGCCTTTGTCAAGTGGGAATTTGGGATAAGGGAAGGGGGCTCAGTTCAAGAACATGTAAAGTTAGGAGACATCAGTGTTATGGATGGTTTTAAAAGTCATGTGATGTTTAAGGAAAATCACCAAAGAAATCTGGCTATAAAATTTTTTTTTCAAGGCTGAGTCCTGATGCATTCCAACATTTAAAGTTAAGGAATTGGAAGGAACAAGAAAAAGAGTGGCTTGGAAAACCAGAGGCCTATATTATCCTGGAAATGAATTAAAGAAAGGTGTTTTAAGCAGGAGGTAGGAATCTACCTGTCAAATGCAATGGAGTTCTCAGGTAAGATGAAGGCTGAGAATTGATCACTGAATTTGGAAACATACATGTCCTTGGTATCCCTAGCCAAAGCAGTTTTGGTGGAGTTATGGGTTTAGATGCCTAATTAGAAAGACTTCAAAGAGAATGAGAATAAAGCAATTGAAGAGAGAGAATACGGATAATTCATTGGAGGAGTTTTGCTACAGAGAAAAGGAAACTGACCTTGACAGGAATGAGAAGAGCTTGGGGGATATTTTTTAAGACAGAGAAACTGTTATTCATGTGTATGATTACACAAATGATCAGCTTGATAGGACTTCCTTGGTGACAAGGGGGAGGGCCTGATGCAGTAGTTAGAAGTGGCCTTATCTCTTAGTAGGGATTGTTTATCCATAATTAAGAGGGTAAAATGTAAAGTATGTAGGCATGGATTCAGACCCAGATTCATGGTCATGCATGTGAGTAAGACAGTTCAGCCTGATTGTGTGCTTTTCTTCAGTCAAGCTCTGACATGAGGGTAAATACATAGGATATACCAAAAGTTTGACTGAACAGCAGCTGGTCTTTTTCCAGGTGATTATGATGCAGGAAGACAGTCTCAAAAAGACTTGGGGATATAGAAAGAAGTGAAGGAGAGCAGAAAGGACATGAGGACATGTTGATAGTGAAAACATGATTGTGAATGGCAGGGTCTGGTGAAATTAAAGAAATTCTGGAGTCAGAGAAGTAGAGTATGTCTAGGCAGGAATGGAGTCTCTAGAGTTGGTTCTGCTGGTACCTTCTATCAGCAAGACCGGGTTACAGATTTAAAATGCAAATGTTTGGTTACACAACCACTGCTCTCTTGTTATAAAGCAAAGTGTCCATTCAAGAGCTTGACTCAATTCTTTTTCTTAATAGAGCATTACAAAGATAGTGATTGCAACTATATTAGTATCACTAAATTTTCTCACTGTTATAGCAGAAATGGAAGAAAAATCTAAGAAAAACAAAACAGGAATGACTTTTATTTATATTGCATCTGCCAGTGAGATGTCAAGTCATTTCTTAATGACTTGTTCACACATTCATTATATAAAAGTGATCCTGTCACTTTTTCATGATTTTAAAGAAAAAAAAATACTGAAAACAAATGTCAATTGCATAATATCAATTTTACAACAGGCAAAAATACTTGGGATTTGAATAGCATCATTTAAACAATTCAATTAAGAAATTATCTCAAGTTGTCTTTCATACAGCAAACATGACTGAACATACACACATTAGTTCTATTCATTTAACTGGCAAGAAACACTGTTTCTTAATTCCAGTTTATGCATTCCTAGTAATTTTTATAACAGCACTGAGAAAAGCTAAACAGCACATTTCTAGGGGACTATAGCACTTCTCAGAGAGTCCTAATCATTTGAAGGGCAACATTAGATGCAAGACTTAAGGGCAAAGTATGCTTATTATACACAAAATCACTATCTTTAAGGAGGACTTCTGAACAAGGTGAAACAGTATCTCTATATAGGCCCTACCCCATAAGGATTTTAAGGATTTGTGGTTATCAAATAACTTGAAATTTTAGAAAGTATTTTTGGTTACTTGTAGAAGCTATGGTCAAGTTATACTTACATGCCAATGGTAATAGATATCTTCAGAATTCACACTACACTTTCACCTCGAAAAATATACTCCCATTGTTTATTTTGATATATCAAATTGTTCATTTTAGATAGTCTAAGAAACCTAGACTTAAGGTTTTAGTTTCTTAATTTCCTGCACCTCCACATTCTTACACATTTCATTATTCATTGTTACACCCTATGTAATGGGTTCATGTCAAAATTTGTGTGGATTAGAATCTATCTATAAATCTCCTGAATTTTGGTGAGCAAGTGAGGATTTCTTTCTCATAGAGACAGTAATCTCTGCAAGCTTATTCCAGTATGGTGGAATACTGCAGAAAAATTTCTCCCATTGTTATCCCTGTTCCTTGCTTCAAACGTTTTTTACAATAAAGAAACCACCTACTATTAACCCCAAAGCCTATAATATCAAGGCTACAAATAGTACTTGTTGATAAAACAGTGTTATCACAGTATCCTTCTAGTAATATATATTTGCTTGGATAGCAAATATATATTACTCAAAATTTAAGCTCAATTTCATCTTACGTTTTAGTAAGAAAGCAGTACATATAATAATGTAGTATCTATTGAGCACCATATATAGCATTTTCATCACCAAAGGGAATAGGCAATACAAGATCGTAGCATTTTATAGGTCCCTGTATCCCAGAGTAGCTGGTTACTTTTAATCCAAATTATAGGCAAGAACTGAAAAGTTCCAAATATGCAATTTGAGAT